GCGCATAGGACACGGATAGGGGAACTTCAGGTTTGCATGTAAGATCTAGTACTACTCCATGCATAATTTTAGGCAAGCCGCTTTAACTTCTCTATCTCAGACTTACTACCGGACTGCTGCAGAGAAGGGAAAAACATTTTGTGTATCTCAGAAGGCTGCTGGAATGCATAGAGAGTATGTTTGAAAAGTGAAAATATTTTAAGTGAAAAGGAAGTTTTCAAGAAGGTAGAAGGAGAAGAGAGCCTGGCTTGTTACCCGAGTGCTGTTCTTCAGCGAGGGAGTTTGACAGATGTGCAATTTACTTGATGGGGAGGTTAAACCTTTTAACCACCATGACATAAGGACTGCTGTTTTAGTTAAGGTACTATATACCCTAAAGCTAATACACTCTTTAAGCTACTGGACAATGACTTTGGAAAAAAATACTGTTTTCAATATAGAGATATTTCATCAATCAGCTAAGTACCTTTGAAATGACTAAGAAATCAAAGAGTATCAATGCCCAGCATGCTTCTGGAAAGGCCTCTACCCTCAGAGGTGTAGCATCCATCCTTAGCAGGATGGCTAAGGCTGCATCTGTAATGCAGACTGTACATTGCTTAACAGATATGTCTGCCCGCAGACACAACTTACATGCCAATGGTAAATCTCCAGAGGAAGGAAAACTTACTTATTTTGCTAGAAAAGGGGGGGGGAGAAATCAACTTTTTTTGCAACAGAAACAGTCTCTGCTTAAAAACTTCACTCCTAGATAGACAGACATATGCTGATTATTTCTAAGTATATGCACATTACACAAAGTCAAAGCAGTTTTGATACCTTTAGCATAAGTATAAATTGAAGGTAGGGGTCAGCTTTTCTCGATGAGGTACAGGACTTCACACAGTTTCCTTGAAGGCCTTGGCATTACAACAGCTGAGGGTTTGAACATGTTATTTGTGCTGTTAACTGACAGTACGGACATCCAATTCTGTTTTGTTAAATTAAAGATCAACCGTAAAACAGAGTAGAATTATAAACTTCTCAAAAAGGCCGTTTTTAAAGCCTAAAGACTGAAACTTCTTGTTAGGCAAAGCCTTAATTATAATAGAAAGCTTTTCTGATTTATCCGTTTCACAGAAATGATTAAAATAGCCATTACACAGATACATGTTACATGGCAAATGACGTTCTTTACAACACAGGGAGAGCATTTTTGCCACAGAATAGCTGGCTCATACAGTTAATCCAGTCAAGGGAAACGTAAATGAAAACAGGAGAAATATGGAAAAAAGTGAGAGTGAAGAAAGATTTCATGTTAATAATGTGGTGTGTTAAGTATCTATGCAAGATTAATTATTACTTGAACAATTATACATCTGATAGTATCTTCCTTAAGATCCCATCTTAAGGGTAGGTATCAGAATTAATAAAAAAAAAAACCATAAGTTAACTGTAATTAAACCAGAGTCACAACTGCTACTTGTTAGGTGTACCTGAGGTAATTTTAAGTGAAAGAGTTTTGGGTACTGCTGGTCGAGCCACCCTCCTATGCCAGTTGCATGGCTCCTTCCTGTCGGTGTCACAGGAGCTCACGGTTCCCAACTAAGTTTCCACGTGGAAATCACCACTGCAGTGGTGCAGAAGTAACGGACACAGTGCTGGGTCTCCTGGAACTCTGTATTGAAACCACTTATAGTTTATTTGCATTTGTTAAATTCATGTAGAAGTGAGTTCAGCACTTGAAGGCTGATCTTGCATACACACACAAGTTAAAGAGCATAGTCAAAACACTAAAACTCTCATGGGATAACTAATTTCTGAGAGAAGGGAGATCAGGACAGCGTGGGCAGGATGAGGGACTTTCAGGTGTGTACTTGCAGCCAATGTAGCAGTGATCCAAGGGCAAAGCCTACCTTTTGCGAGGAGAAACAGAACGTGAGTGCAAAGACTGTCCATTCATTCTTTTAGACTGCAGAATTTTCTCCAAGTACCTGCGCGAAGGAGATAGTTGATTGTTACTGATTTTAAATATGATTTTGATCACATCACACTCGACAGATTTTCCTCTCAAACTTGTACTGGTTTCCTGTAGAGCGACTAGAGCAAACATCCACTGGAGAATTAAAGGTGGGCTCCATCCTGTGACTGAGAAACAATTACTGGGTAAGCAGCTACTTAAAATACTTTTGTTGTTTGTTCTGCAATGAATGCCAAAGGAGAAAAGCCTGTGAAAACCACTGCTTGAACCACTCACAGCCGTCCCTCTGCTGTAAGCCACTGTCAAATTCAGGCATGTAGTCGCACAGCATGGCAGTCACTGTACCAGGAAAGTCAGAAAACAATCGAGTGCTAACAGCTTCTGCGTTAGGGATCCTGACTTGTGGTTCATTTAACGTAGCTAACAGGATGTCGTACAGTCCAGCCCTTTACAGGAAAAAGCCTTGATAAGAGGAAAAAGCCTTGGGGAAAAAAAAAAAACAACAACAAAAAAACCAGAAAAGCCTGAGATCTGAGGCTACTTAATTCCCGAGTACTTTTTTTTTTTTTTAATCGTTTAAGTTTTTGTTTGTTTTAATAGAAGCATGGTACTGGCCCTTGAAAAGGGGACAGCAGCTGGTTACCATTGTTAGTTCATTAATATTTCTCACTGGGACTTACATTGCTTTATCATTGCCTAGAATAGCTTTTAAGCATGCAGGTGTTTGTCTATACATACCCTCCTTGGATCAGTTTAAGTGAGCTAAATTAGTTGAGGTTTTTTAAAAGGAACATTCTGACATTGTACAAAGTTTTAGTTTCTTCTATTTTTATTTCCAGTAGCCCTTTTTTGCTGTGTATACAGAAGTCTCATGTAGAGAACTTTCTAAAATAAAGTGTGAATATTTTTATTACTCCTTTGTACAGCATTCAAAGAGAAACTAATAAAGTGAGTATTCATGTAAAAACTTGTGTTCGATTCCTTGACTTTTCACATGGACAGGTTTTGCTTTTAAACAAGCATGGCAAATGAACACTATAGGGCAATTCCAAGCCCACCAAGCAATCGACTGCAGTAAAGCAAGGAGCTTGCAGCCCACTGCACGGATCCCTTAGCAGGGTACCGCAGCAGCGAGTCGCTCAAACCCTCTGCTACTAACAGCAAGCCATCGAGCATGGAAATGGGTGTGCATCACTGGTCAATGTAAGTTAAGTATCTCCAGTAACATAATATTGTCCCCTTGTCTACACCACACCTAATTAGCTAGCTCTCTCTCAGGTTTAGTGAAATCCTCCTAGACCAGAACACATTATTCCTCATCCTAACAGATCACAAGTATAAATGAAAACCAGAACCACACTAGAAATTAAACAAATCTTACAGGAACCTGTTATACCTCTGTAGGACAAGTTCCAGTTACGCACAGCCACGGTAACAGATCACAACAGGCTAACTCGAGTCAACGACCAAAACTTTCTGGAGGAAGAATTATGCAAGCTACAGGCTTTTTGCACCAAAGTTCAGCAGATGCTTCCGGACCTCTGACGAGAAAGGCAAGGAGAGAACATTTCCCCAGCCCTGCTGCTTTAAAGAGGCCATTTCACTTCGGAAGCACAGCGGACTGCCCTGCACATCGCCCACCGACAGTAGATGAGAAGCCCTTCGCTCCACAAACAGGCAAGTACATTTTTAGAGCTTTCAGTATGGAAAAGGGGTGGAGCAAACTGTCTGTTAAGAAGACATAAACACTAAACAAGAACACATGATGCCTCCGAAGGGAACGAGTCCTGTCAGTACTACTAAAATGATCCCACACTAAGCATACAAGACTATTCCCCCCTCCCCAGCTCCATCGCGTACAACACACCATCCTTTGTGATGTGAGAGTCTTCTGCTTTCTGGAAGACTCGGACTAAGTCAATCTCTTTTTTTTCAGACCCCTGTCGGACATTACAGAGACGGAAGATAACCCCCCCCACCCGCTCATCCAAACTGTAAACGGGGACCAGCTTCTCTTCTCTAACAAGACTTTATCAAGTAGGGTGCAGAAGAGGGGAAAGACCGGCACGCTGTTGTTCTTCTCAGTAAGTACAAGAAGTTTTTTCATTTGTAGATCAAAGTTGTTCTTCATCAAATCTTGCGTACGCCATCTGAAGCAAGAAGCAAAACTGAAAGTTTGGAGTAAAAAGAAGCCACAACAGGATTTTGCTTCTGCCTCTCAAACACCCAACTCTGCTCTGGGGGGGATACAGGCAGAGCACCAGGGCATACCCAAGTAGCTGTGCTGGGATGATTTTTTTATGTTTTGGGGGAGATCTGCCATAGAACAAGCTCTCCTACTTCCCCCCCTCAACCCACTATTCATGTTGCAGCACTTTCACTTCCTTGCAGTAAGACTTTGACAAAATCACTTTCCTAATGCTCTGTTTTGAAACAATGCCAAACCATTCCTGTCTGCCAGGCAACAGGATGCACGGGGAAAACACAGAAGCAGTAAAAAACAGCAAGAAATTGCTCAAGCTCTTTTCTTTTTAAACTTATGTCAGGGCAACACATTTAATTAAAGATTAAAGCATTTAGGACCATGATAGGTCCTAGGTTAAGGAGCAATGCCTAGTCCAGCAATGAAAATTACTACGGTGTCTACTGGTATATGCAACAAAATATCTTAATTGAAAGAACGGAAACAGACTCCAGTGCTGAAGAAAGTGCCCGCTGCGTTCCCAGTCCGCACGATGACTGGGAGTTCATCAGCAAAGGGGGATCAGTCTAAACAAGCCTCATTAGCAAGGCACAGCTCTTGCTCCTACCTCTCCAAATGCTTCCCTATGAACAAGCCCGTGAAAGTTGTGTCCTTGTACTAACGTGGGCTTTTTTGAGTTATTAATAATGAAAGAACTTTTCAAAATTGGTAAAGTAACGTATTTTGTTGCAACCTTCTGCCCGTATTTCAGGTAATTTTGCTTAACTTGTCTTGTCTCTTTCCTAAGGCACAAGTACACTTGGCTTTGGTTCAAAAAATTCATCCAGCTGCAGCAGAATGTTTAAAAAAGTCACCAAATCTGTACTAAATCAAACGGGTGAAGCAAGAGGCCTTGTCCCAGTTCACAGCATCTTTGACCATGAACGTTTCAGACCCCTCTGTCTAGTGAGAAGAAAAAGAAAAGCCATATTCCACCCATCTCCCAGCTACAGACAGACATGTTTCAAACTCAATGATGTGCTGCTGCCTGGAGAAGACGCTGAAAGCACAGGTAAAGCCCACATTTATCCATCTTAAGTTCACAATTTTCATAGACAAAACATTTGGATCATTTGTGGCTGAACTCTACCACGTTCCACCTTTCTTGTGTGCACATGTCTGTGCAATCATGGTTAAGCTAATGCATCGAATTATTTCAGAGTCCCTCTTTCCCAACGGAGATGGTCAAGATTCAACGCAATTTACAGTCCAAGCAAGCACCAGGGACAGAATTGATGGGAGTCTAAGCCTTCCTATCATCTCTACAAGCGTAGATGTGAAAGGAGCTGCCTCCTTGTTCAAAGGGTGGTCCATCAAGCTGGAGAAGGACCTTGTACCAGCAAAAGCACTTGAGGCACTGCGTAACAAAAGGTATGGCAGACACAAAGGAAGCACACGCCCTCCTCTACCCCGTGCCAGGTCACGCAATGGTTTTTCAACAGCCAAACACCAAGATTAAGACCCGAGAGCACACATTCTCCTTAACTACGCATACTTCTGGAGGACAGGAAAGAGAGGCGATAAAGATTCCTCACACAGCCTCGTAATGCTTACAGATTTCTTTGTAATTCAGGAAGTGGGAACACCTCAACAGGGAGTCAAGCCATCTTTTCTCATGGTTTGTACCTGGAGAGGAGCATATAGGTCAGGACAGATCACCTGTACGACCTGCCAGCCCACTGCCTCGCTGCCCTGGTCCCCCCTCAGACGTAGAAGGGGAATGCATTGAGGACAGCAAGAGTTGCAGCCCATTTTCTGCCACCTTTTTCCCCCAGACGCCCCCGGACACTGTGGTATTTACAGCTACTCACCTAACGTGAGAAAGAACACAAGCACAGGGCTTCTGCATCCAAGTAGACTACAGTATTTTTCTCATAACTCACAGAAAAACAGCCAGGATATTGCATCCTTTTTCTCTTTTAGAAAAATTAATATGGATCACTCCTTCATTCAACAACTAAAGAAAACAGAACAAAATTTATACGTGGTTCTTGAAACAATAAAAGCCTCAGAGGAGACCAGCTATGAGGAATCCACCGAGGTGGAGGGGAGCTTCATGACCCAGTTTTACGCCAAGTTCTACGCAAAGGTTTGATTTCTCTTCAGGCTCAGGAGTCAGTCCTTCCCAAACATCTGCATGCCACCCAGGCCTAATAACAGACTTTTTTTAAGTTTCTTTTTTTTCCATTGACCAGGGCATCAGAGAGAACAAACAAAGCATAACTATACCCAAGGACTGCACCCTGGCCTTCCGGGCACTCCAACTGTGCATTACAGATGGATCATGGTGTAAGTAACTTCCAGAAACTACCAACACCTCTGTTCAGGAAACAGCGCAGAAGAGCAAAAACATTCTCTGAAGTATCATTCAGCCTCACAGCCACCCTTAGCTCCTTTCATTCATTAGGACATGAACACAATATGAGTGACAGAAACCACCTGGGAAAAGGCTGTACGTAGCACATAAAAGAGCTACTTGGGAAAGAGATGCAGTTTCGGGGGCACAGGGGGTGGTAAGGAAACAAGAGGGGGATACTGGAAGTCTCAGCTCTAAATCTCAGGAACTGCAGAGCTTCTGCTGAAAAATGGCACAGAGAACAGAGTTTGTTTTGTTTTCTTTTCCTACTCAGGAGAAAAGAGCCAGGCAGAAAAGAATGTGGCTGACCCTTCAGTGGGAAGACTGGCGTAAGAGACACTTACGCTGGATAGGTAGAGAAAGAAAGGACCGAGATCCACAAAACCTGCTGCAGGATTTTAGAGACTGCATTTGGCTTTCTTACCCTATGCTCTGTGCTTCCCACACCTGCGTGGGCCTTGTTGAGAATAGGTTGCCATTTTAAGTTACTTGTATTTTAACGCACTTATTGGCCAATACAGACCCTAACATAAGGCAAGTGAGAGTAGGGAATGAGGTCTGGGAATAACGAGGTTTAAACATCAGGTAGAAGACAGATGCACTGGAGAAGAGGGAAACACCACTCTGACTTACAACTAGCACGTGAGATTTCAGACCTGGGATATCAATATCTTCAGACTTACAAGCAACCACCTTGGTAAAAAAAAAAACAAACAACCAGCTTCCAGTATTTTTCTAAATCAGCAATGTCCTTTTTATCCTGTTGCAGATCTTGACTATTTCCCAGAAGTACATGAATTACTGTTGGCATCTGATGGTAAGCAATGCATTTTACTGCTTCTGCTTGCACTACTTTTAATCCCCTTGGGTAAGACGGAATCTCTCAGGATAAACACAATCCACCAAAAGAGATGAGTTTACTGTAGAGTTCTGCCCGTTACCTGAGACATGACAACTGTCCAACTCAAAATTGCATATTGCTTTAAAAAATATTCATAGAAATGTTTCAAATTCTAAGTTTAGGTGTGCCGGTGACCGTCTTGTGGGATTGCCTAGTTTAGAAGTGACATACTTGGACTCCTTCTGGTTTTCAGGTTTCTCATCAGGAAAGTTACGAACATTGGAGGAAGAAGTTAAAAATAGTTGTCAAATTCTCTCCGAGTTGTCTTCTGATCTGTTCGTTGTATTTTTAAAAGCCATCAAAGCTGTGATGAGAGACAGGAACCTCTTTCAAGAGCTGAGCCAGAAAGTAAGCAAAGTTCTTCTTCTTGCCAAGATTTATAAATACAGAGACATCCATGATCACACCTCTTGCCCCAGAAGCCATCTCTCCCGTGCCACAACTATCAATCCAAACATCCCTCACTTGGCACATCTGTCTGGTCTCTGGCACCATACAGAGCAAGAAGGTGCTCAGGACAGAGTCAGCTGCTCAAATATATCCTGAATATAACCTAGCAGATTTATCCGAAGGTATCAAACCATTTACATCTCATATTCTGTCTTTAACTGGAGCCAGCGCAAATGCTAAAGCCTCAATTGCAGCATCATACGTAGCTTAGGGAGGGCAGACACACACGACACGACTGTTCACATGCTTCTGTAGTTAGACTGTGAGAGACTATCAGCAGGCTGGCCTCTTAAATCCTGACATTTCTTTTTCTTACCCCCCTAGATGGAAGCAGTTCTTGATGAACCTGATATTTGGGAGCTGAAAACAGACACTCCAGACTTAGAAGATCTGTTGATCAGCTTACACAATTTTTCAAGAGATCATCTCCTTCAGCTGGCAGAAGCAATCACCTACATTCTTGATGCTTTAGATGGTAAGGCTTTCTGGCCATTTTAATAGAAAAATCCAGTAGCACCAGAATATATTAAGAGCATTCCTACTGACAAGACTAGTAGAATTTAGAAAGCTTACAGAGCGTGAGAGACTTGCGGAGGATTTATGTAAAGTAATTTCTTAGTGGTTTATGCTGAGAGCACAGACCTGTCCGCAGCAGCTGCTGTTCAGCAACAGTTGCAGAGTCACAGAGCAGAGATTCCCTGCAAGAGAGTTGATGGTTACCCTTCGCATCTCACCAGCTGTCTCTCAAACATTGGTGGTGGGTTTTTGGTACAAACCTGTTTTAATTCTGCAGAGCTAACGGAGGATCAGCTGCTGCTATTGCTAGAGTCCTTGGAAGACAAGATTGTGTCCCAACAGCTTAAGCTGGTGAGAAAATAAACATCACATTTGGCTCAAAATGAAGGGGTGGCGGGGTGTTATTTTAAGTAAAGCAATATTTAGATGACGATATAGGTAGCAGTATCACAACTTAAGGTAATCCTGAGAAGAAGGGAAGGAATAATTGCTTCAAACTTGGCAAGGATCGAAATACTCACTTTGAGAGAAATCACCCCAAGACACAAAGACCTAACAACTGTTTTGCTGATAATAAACACTAAATTGGACACAGCTAACTACCATTTTTCTTGAAATGGTAGTCAGAATCTTCTAGCTTCTTGGGCTCCAGATTTAAAAAAAACAACACACTACAATTTTAATTATTGGACATAACTAATTCTCAAGAAAGTGGGAACTGCATACATGAGCATGACAGTCTTTCAGGGTGAAAAGTCCCATGTGTGGATTATGTAGCACACCTGTGAGACAGTAAAGCACTCCACAAGTTAAAAAGATCATTTACTTAATGACTTCTACAGATGGGAGTATTAAAATACTGATTTTACTTTTCTTGTTGTTGCTGCAAAGGTTGAGAACATCTTGGAACACGACATAGAACACAGGAAGGAGCATTTCAGCGTGGATGCCAGCTTATTCTCCTTCTCACAAGAAAAGGAACAAGAATTAACCACTGCAATGGTTGAGATGAGCGGAGTGAAGCTCCAGGAAGATGGAACTGCTGTCTGTACAGAAGCAGCCACCACAACCGTAGCAGCCCTGTATGTGTCTCTGTACATCCTCAATCTTCTGAGTAACTCAGATTAGGTTACACATGTCCTCCCATTAGGGATGATTTAAAGGTAATCAGTTGACAATGTATTTGAAAGTCTCTTACTGCGAGCCACTTTCTCTCTCAAAATCTCATCCCTGCGTAGGTGAGGCACTACTTATTAATGCTTCTGCTGCTTTAAAATGAGTGGGAAAAGCAGACTTAAAGCAAGAAAACTCCTTACGGAAGCCAGATACCAAAATTGATTTTACTTCCCCCTCACGTGAAAGCAAGAGTGCCAACTGAAAAATCCACTAGCCCAAATAATCACAAGCCTGTCAGCTGCACTCTATGTGACCCCAGTTTTCCTAAAAAATGCTAGCACACAGTGGTTCATGCAATCAATAAGGCACAAAGGAATACATCAGCAATAATTCACTTACCCTGGTCACACTTGTGATTCATGTGTGACTCAGTAAGCTGCTAAATGTTAAAAAGCTGTGGGATCTCAGAGCATTTTAATGATGCACACCTGGTCAAACAGCACCTCCATCACATGATTATACACCCCATCAGCATCAGCAAGGAATAAACTACAACATTTTGCAACAATCTTATAAGTGCTTTGATTACTGCTTTATAAATAAAAAGAACAATTTCTTACTGAATAACTGGTCATTCTTAAAGGCAATTTTTTAATCTGCAGGTATTTTCAGTCACCCAGCAGTGCTGCCTGCCAGGAGGCCTGGCCCCCCACAGGCTCGAGGTCCGGGAAGGTTCCTCAGGTTCCCAGGGGAAGAGGGTGCCCTCAGCACAGGGCAGCACTGCTTACCTGGGTGGTCACTACCGGCACAACGGGCCTGGCTGTGCTCTACACCAGCTATAAGGGGAACTCAGCCCCGAAAGGGCATTGGGGGGGGAACGGCGGCCGCTCCCCGCGGGCAGAGGCCGCGGCCCGGGCCGGGCAGCACCG